TACGATCTGTAAATACGCGGCTCGGACTTACCAGGCCTACCCACTGGCTATGCTACTGGCTTTGAAATAATTTTATGAAATTTATTATAAGTGAAAAAAAAAAGTATTTATTTGTAATAGTTTCAATATCAACTTTTAAAAAGTAAAATTTTAAATTATTTGTATGGTTTAAGTATTAATATTAAACATTGATTTCTCTAACTATTATTTTATTTTCTTCTTTTAATTTTATTTTTAAATATTTTAAAATTATTTTGACTATATTATTTTAACCATTTTGACTATAACTTCTTTTTAAATTATAATTCAAACTACAAATATTATTATATTGCATTTTATACGTTTCAAAAATATAATTTTATTAGATAAGAAAAAGTGATAAAAAAAAAGGTTAGAAAAAAATGTATTAAATATTTAAAACGTAATCTTATAAAAACACGTTGAAAAAAACCGGGGTCCGTGTATGAAATTATAACGGGGACTGATTTTCCAAGATCTCTAGTATTGGACCAATCTTTATAAAAGCGTTTTCCTCTTACCACAAAAATGATAAGTTTAGACATAATAAAGGTACGTTTTCCTTGCTGCGCTTCCAAACGGAGAATTTATGTGTGTTTAGTCGGGAGGACAAAAATGGAAAGAATTAGCTTGGGACTGAGGAAAATAGAGGAATTTAGTGATGGCGGTGAAAACTCTTAGAAAGTATTAAGGGCTAGATGAAGAAGATGAAAAATGCTTTACCAATTCTTATCTCAGAACATTGTAATTTAGACTGTTATCCATAACTGGCTCATGTTCTATTTCTTGTTCAATGAGTTCTGGTCTCTCATATAGCTGTTCTAAATACATATGATCTTTCTATGTTCATCCTCATAAATAATTACTCCGTTGCTATCCTCTATAGCGCTTCTTTTTGGTTTATAATCGTTAAAGAAATTGTTAACTTATTTATATGCTACATTCCTGCTACCAATTCTCATTTGTACCTCTATATCATTGCATTTTTCATCTAAGTATTTTTCCTTTGCTTCTATAGACTTTTGTATTACAATATTTCTTAGTTGTCTGTATTTCATCTTATGAACAGGAGTAGTCTCATTCGTAAGCTTTCTTCTTTCTCCTATCATAGTTACTATCTATGCTGTTATCCATTATTTCTGAAGTAATTTAGCTTTATTTTCTTTTAGATCCTTTGATGCTTATTCTGTCACTGCGATTTTTAGAATAGCCCACATATTATTTATGTTAGTTCTCTTATTTATATTTATATTATTTTGTAAGTTCTTTAAACTTATCTTTTGTCTTTTCTTCCTTTTATTTTTTTATATGCCATCGATCAATGTTTCTTCTTGATGTTATTTTCTAGAATTTCTGGTTTCTTTTCATGATTAATAAATTGATTCCTGTTAAAGCGAGAAATGCTTCACAATCAAAGGACGAGAAAGGACCGATCACTTTTACCTTTTCTCTTGGTGGGTAGGCAACTTATAAACCTTGCACCGTATTGTATATAAGTAGGCAACCTAACACACTCAGCCACTTTTCGTACCCACTGGGCGGCCAAGACGTTTGAGAACAATACTGGCAGCAACCACACCGACCACAACAACAATGACACTAGCGATGCGGCTCGACAGCCGGGGACGAGGGCAAGGGAGAGAACTTATTTATACTATCTCGTAGCACGGCGGGAATTCTTTGATTGCCACAAGGCGAGTTACTTACAACTATTTAAAACTAAAGAACAAAAAAATGTACAACCAGTATCCAGTTCGGATCCTGGGATGATGGTGGACGAGACTTTTTCGGCAGTGGACACCTAGGCGGTCAGGATGAGAATGGATTGCGGTTGTTTATTTGAAGACTGCACTCGTCGTGATACCAGTTGGCACAATATCGGTGAAAAGAAGAAATTAGGTAGCAAAATAAAAATAACGCGAACGCGCAAGTGGTTAGTTACGAAAAAGTATATATTTTTAACAACGATTATAGTAGTGACTCAAATCGGGACAAGAAAGAATAACTACTAAAAAACGAGTAATAGTAATAAGTTTAGATAACAAAAAATATAACGATAAACGATAGCGTCAATGTCGCATCACCGAAAAGCATAGCGAACGGAGTATAATAACGACAATACACAGATATAATAATAACAAAAACGAGCGTAGGTAAAAGCAGCCGCGCATGCGCGCGGACACAATTACATAACAGATAGGTATTTTTCCACACTTATCAAGTAGGTATACGAAAGGGAAATAAAAAAAAACGAACAATAATTTATCATAATAATTCAACAGATACATATTTATTTTTATATTACGGAGGAGTTTGGACAGAACAATAAGGAGACACTATGACCGAAACGGTTTACGTAACTTTGCTATGCGTTGTGGCGTGAACAATCACTATCTATGTCTACTCTTGGATAATTTCTGCTGTCTTTTACTCGGTTTCTAAGTCTTATCTTAACTGTAATGTCATCTATTTAATATCTTGTCACGGCGCCGTGCCAGTCGGTGGTGGTCTGCACTAGACGGTTGTGGATTTATTTGAAAAAAACACAGTAAAGGTAATGACGACAATCGTTTATTATTTTAGTTAAAAAAATACCCGATCGACTAATATGACGCCGAGGGTGAGTGTTGGGAAAAAGAGAGAGAGAAAAAAAAAGAAAAGTACGCAATACTTTATGCGGTGGTTATGGTGTTCCTCGCGTATACGAAGTTGGTCATGACTCGTGACATGGCCGATTGCACTCCCCCTCTCAGGATCGATTCTAGGGTTTATTTTTAGGGGTGTTCGGAGTGAATTTTTTCGACTTCCAAGAACAAAATTTGACGACCGCATACATTGACGGCTGGTATTTTATAATAATTGCCGACTGTTATCAGCTATTACAGCTAAAGTTGATTTATAATAATCGTTAGTTTAAGGAAAAACTTATTAATAAAAATACATCCTAGGATAAAGAAGATGGGTGCAGACACTTTTATAGATAATTCACTCTACTCAGAATCTAAAATATTAAAATTTTAGGAATTATAGGTATTATGAATTGCTATAATATGCCGATTAAAAATTGCAGTTGCTGACTTTAGAGGGGTGTCATCCCCCCCCCCCCCTTAGGGTCTTACCTGTCCCCTCTACCTCTCGTGTCGAGTAGCAGGCTGTGGGTTACGAACGCGGTACTGCAATACCAGACTTAGTGGCTGATAAGAAAACTAATCATGGGCTGCAACAGCGCTTGTAATGTGTACTTGCGGCTGCCAGACCCATGTTAATCTTCTAATGTCTCGGTATTTTCCATGTATACTTTCTTCTTGGATGGTAATTTAAATAGAAATTTGTTATTATTAGCTCACATTTTGAACAAAATTTTTATTAATCTGCCTCCTCTACCGTTTTGGTTTCCTAGTCCATAATTTCCTATTATATATCCTGGGCTTTCTTCTCCCATTACAGTGTTCCAATTACTCACAATGATAATATCTTCTTTAACTTTTTCAATGAATTTTTCTATTCCTTCATAGACTTCTTCTGTTTCTCTTCCCTGTTATTAGAGATAAGCATATAGACTTAGACTATGATTGTATCATTGGGTTTTGTTTCTATCTTGATTAATATTATTCTTTCGTTGTATTACACAAATTTTTTAACTTCCTTTCTTCCCTATGGCCTTACTCATTATTATGAATACCTCTAAAATGCATGGTTTATTCTCCGCTGTTCTCCCTAACCTAACCTCCATAGATCTACTCTCGGCCATCTCATTTCTGACAAGCCAAGAATATCAATCTTCATTCAAAATAGTTGTTCTTCTCCGATCCTTAACACTTCTTTAGAAGTTCCTACCCGGAGATCCAAAGGGGGGCTATTTTACCACCGAAATATTTGACTTTAGAATATTTCATGTTATTACTATGTCTTAGGATGGTTTATACGGTGGACTCCCCTTGACTTCCCTATCGCAGTGCAGTCACCAGTCATACGATTCCCATATCTGCTGGCTGCTATTTGGCGTGTAGCTGTTTCTACCATTGTAGATTACCAGTGATCGGTCGAGTCGAGAAAAATTTGAAATGAAGGAATAGTGTGATTTTCTGTTTTTAGATATTAAAAGCAGGTCGAAATTGTCAGTCTTCTTCTTATCGACCATTTTAAGTGGAAAAATGGTATGTATCGTATTTTTATTTTTGTGTTATTCCCTCAATTTGTATACATTTACGGATACGTTTAAATTATTTTTTTCGAGGTTTTAATGTCCGAAAGCGGAGTTGGGAATGATAAATTATCGAAATTGTATGTATTTTCATGTTTCACGTATTGTTTGTTTACTCTGTATCTATGCTCTCCTATAACGTGTTTTGCCAGTATCACCCACTTAAAACAATTTTTATCAGTATTTTGCGGGTTGATGACAGCTATTTTATTATGTATGGCGGTAGGTAATGGGATATACGACGATCGATGAATCCGAAAACCGCATACTTACAATAAAATACAGGACAAAACCGCACAGTTTTTAAAACTTTTATATTTAAAATTCGCATATTTTATAATAATGTATTTATGTGTATGTATCTATTATTTATTAATAATTAATCAAAAAATATATAAAATAAAATATCAAATATTATAATTGTATCTTAATTAGTGTTGTTAAATATTAATATAATCTCTCGACTATTCCATCACGATGAACAGTTTCCATTTGTTCAGTACGGTCACCATTATATTTAAACATATTCGGGCAAAGGTCGCAAATAATGAATAAAATAATATGTACCTATGTATGATAATGGTAGGTAAAACAATTTAAGTAGATGACAATATACTGTTGGTATATGGAAACGGTAAATATAAACGTGGTTAGTATGATTACGATTTAACCATGATAACTGTGATAATAGGAGGTATAAACATGGTTTCATTAGGTAAAGCCATAATAAAGTTAGGTATAACCATGATAAGAGTAATAAGGTTACGTATAACCGTGGTTAATATGATAAATGAAAGTACAGTCGTGATAACGGTTGGTATAATTGACAAAGGGGATGGGAGGAAAATATATGCCGATGAAGAGGTGGATAATTCGGGCGGCCATGTAAAAGCATAGCGCCTAGTATGGCGCCCATGTACAGATATAACGCCTGGTCAGGATCAGGATCAGGCACCTGGCCTAGAATTGTTTTTTTCATACTACTAATGTAAGATAATAAAATGTAGTAAACACATTAATAGTTTTGTGTTTCTTGCCTGTAAGAACCTGTATGAACCTACATGAGTTGGTCGAAACAGATATTTTTTTATAATCTTCAAAAAATCCGAATAAATATTTGAGAGGGATGCAACCGGAAAATTTATCTTTTTTCTATTAAATTTATTCTGTCATCGTTATCCAAGTTCCAGCCAGCGTTTTCGAGTTCATACAAATCGTGTGATGTATGTGACTGGTTAGTTCGACTCAAAACTATATATTGACAAAATTACCCGTGACGCAATTCTCTTCCGCGATTGTGGTAAAATTTAGGAGTTCCATACAAGAGAACGATTCAAACGGTCGCTCTATGTTTTAAACAAACTAAGTCTGGCTAAATCTAGTCAAAGTCTTATCCAAGACTAATCTTATACTAGAACGGCGCTTTATATATATACTACTAATTGTAAGTGGTGCCGCCCAATGTGGACCTAACAGGACCTCCGAGAGAGAGCATGGTTCTCAAAAAGCGGTTCTCCCCCAGGTCCTGCTAGTCATGTTGTCTTACAACAGTCAATCCCGTGAACAAGTTAATAACTATCAACTATAAAATAAAAGATATTCTAAATTAAAACAACTATCACCTATTACTATAGCCTCGAACACCGATTAGAATACAACAAGAGTAAAACTTAATAATTACGTAAAATTATATAAATCGAATTTAAATGAGTATAAAAATATATATAGGGGTTCTGTTTAGGATACCCGTCGAAGAATAGTAGTAATACCAGATTACTACAGTGAGCAGTATATTTTCAGAGTTGAAGGTATACTCGGTGAGAAAAATGTTTGTATTTCTACTTCATTTAGTTCGTATATTATTTCGGAGAATAGGAAAGCCAACCCGTTGTTTGTAAAATTTATATCTCCTACCGCGTTGTCCAGTTTGTAAACATTTCCTTCAATAAACAAGTAACTCTCACATGATAGAGTGTACGCGTTCATATTTTAAATAGATATTCTAATCTCATCGCTTTTTGAAAATTCCGTATTCGAGTAAGGAAGAAACAAGTGATATTTCATCTGTGTTATCTTATAATCGTCTACATACCCCTCCGTTGGTTAGGTTAGGTTAAGATATACATTGAAAAAGTGATAAGTGATACAGTGATAAGTATGTGTCTAGCCGGCGTGATTATCAGGATGACTATGTGTTGAGTCGTATCAAGCCTCACGTGCAGAATATTTCGTGATAGAAAATTGATAGCGAATGAAGAACATTCGGCGAAATTCAGAGATGATGTTGGTGCAACGTATTCATACTTTTTAAATAAGTCAGAAATATTTAAACACTTAAAGATTTTTTAAACGCTTTGTAAAAATGTATAGTCAGAGAAATGAGCACTGAAAGACGACTTGCTGCTACGACTGTAGTACGGATTCCTACTGTTTAATTTTGTTAGACAACTTATCTTTAGATAAGACGCCCATGAGGTATTTTCAACATACGTGCGTATTTTATAATTTAATAATCATACAGTGCTCTATTGGGTAGCGTGAAAATTAGTTTTTCGATCATTTTCTCGATTTATTGCTTGAACCACTGTCACTTTTTTGTGGTGATACATATAATGCTTTACTTTTTTTTTATTTTATACGATACGCCTTTATAAGGCGTTAAATACATTCTTTTTCTTTAATAAACAGGTATATTTCTATTTGCTTTCAAGTCGTTTATTACTTTTACTACATTAGCAACCCTAACGCTGATAAACTAGCAAAGATAGATATTAACACACCTTTTTTCGGAATAGGTATAATTCTGGGAATTTTGGTTTTTTTTTTTATTTTTCGCTGTTGTTTTCTTGTTTTCTACCATACACATCCTTATTAATTTAAAGACATTATCTTTACCGATTTTATTTTTAATCGCCTTTTTAGCTGTCGTTACTACTTGCGTGAAACTACACCCGGACCCCATCACCAAGTTGCAGCCTTTTCTTTAATGCCCATGTTTCTAGATTTAAAAATTTTCTAAATCTGGTCTTCTAATATTTTATCTGCTTTATGTCTATCACTCAATGAATACATTTTTTCGTACGCTATATCGTGTTATCTAGCTAACTCATCCAGATTATTTATCCCATGCTCACCTCGTGCTAATCGATTTTTCAACTTGGTGCACGGACGGACCACAAAACCTGTAACCGAGTAAATTTAAATCCATGGGCAAATGGTTTATAACAGAGTTGATTTGACTGGAATCTTCAGTCGACCTACTCTTTCGAATGCGAGTCATCGTGTGACGCTCTAAAAGATTGAACGTCGATATTTATGTAAACAAATAAAATACATTTTCCAACAAGAGAAAAAACTTCAGATCTATAACATAGACACTGCTGATACAGAGAAATCTAAACATGGAGAAATATTCCTGAACATGGTGTGGTCATTAGTACTAGGCAGTTCTGGGTGTGGCAAAACAAATTTAATGTATTTCTTACTAGTTTTACTAGTCGATGAAAACGGATTACGATTTGAAAATGTTAACATACATTCAAAAATGCTTGATCAGCCAAAGTATAAACTACTAAAACAGATTATTAATGAAATCGATGGTGTACAAATATTCAATTTTTTCAAAAATGATAAAGTCATTCCACCAGAAAAAGTTTTACCGAACTCTTTGTTTATTATGGACAATATTATCGGAGAACAACAAACTGTTATTAAAGAATATTTTTCTCGAGGACGATACAATAATGTGGATATATTCAGCTCAGAATTATTCGAAAATACCTAAACAACTAATTAAAACATTTTAAACAAGTCGAAACCAATTTAAAACATGTATATAATGAACATTATGTTTTATAACAAATTTAAACATTTTTTTGTAACGTGCTGGAACCGCGATAGATTTGCATTTATCGTCATTTTTACAGATAATGGACGTGATAACAGGCGATACCGATTCGGATTAGATACATATGTGATACTTATATGGCTATATAAGCCAATTTATTATTTATTTATTATTTATAATAATAATTATCATTTAAAACACAACCATGGATAATGGCTAACACATATTAGAAGAGTTAGTTAAAACAAAAGAAAACATTAAATGTAAATTTATCGCATTGAAAATCGGGGAGGCTAATATTCGTATAAAAGTAATAAAAACTCTAAATCCAGTCATTGAACCTCTGAATAGAATACATATAGAGCAATTTTGTTTTTACTTATTATTTTATTACAGACATTTTCGTCACATAAACAAAGTGATAATAATCAAGCCGCATGGGATTATGGATAGAAAATATGATAGAACATTAATATTAATAATACAAATCAAACACTTTTTTTTGTTATATTTCTTGTTTTTATAATACAAAAATTTACATTTGTAGTTTTTTTGATTATACGATTATTTCATATAGACCATCTTTTTTTACAATATCTACATTATCTACAATTTGTTCATTCACTGTCTTTCAGTAGGTGGTGATGTCCACATGTCATTATATTTATTTTATTGTTTATCGTTATCCTCTTGTTGTCATAATTGTTAAATGTGATATTATGTGCGGTGATGGTCCTCGGTTGGTGGTGAAATGATCGTATCGACACAATATCCCTATACTATATATATATGCGTCCAGATCTCCGTTACTAAACAGGCACTTCTTGTGATCATTAAAAGTGATGCGGTTCTTAACGACGTGTCTTCTGATTCCTTTCGCCTTAATTTGCTCTTCTCCATTAATCCGATATACGTAAGACTTTGCCTATAATACACAATACTGCGTTATCGTCTTTCCATCAGTCTCGTCTGAGAAAACACCTGGAATTTTATTCCTCTCTGCAACAAAGCACGGATGTCTATTGGTAAGTTGGCCGTATCCATATACTCCAAAAGCCCTGTTTACTCAGAAAGCCCTTGTAGAAATTTCTCGTCGCAATATGATACACCAACGAATCTGAAAAACAATATAATATTATACGTACAAGAAAAAAATTAATAATAATAATTTACCTGTATTAGTATACATCAGATTGATTGAGTTTTTGAAATGCTTCTTCATAAAATTATAATGGTAATCATTTAGTCTAGGAGATATCCAGCACAGAAAATTCTGTAAACATATGAATAAAAACATTATAAATATATTTTAAATAATGTACAATTTTAAATGAGGTACACACCTATATAAATTGGTTAGCAAAAATGAATTATTTTGTTCTCCAGCGATATAGTACACAGTTCTCGTTGTATGTCGTACAATGTTTAAATGTTGTTCGATTTATCAATTTGTATGCTCTCTTATCATTCGATACCAGCTCAATGTCAATTTTCTGTCTCATCGATTCCATCGTCTTATGTAGAAAATCATAATTATATAATAACATAAAATTTTTAATAATAATAACTTATCGAATACTGCATTATTCATTAATTTATAAAAGTTTTTTCTCAAATTCATTAGTTGTCTTCTTCCTTATCTTGGTATTCAAATCAATATATATTTTCAGCCACGGGGACTGATTGAACTGCATTACTCTGTGTACCTGTAAAATAAATAATACAAAAAATATAATAAATAAATAAATAAAATAAACAAAAACATAAAAATATTTTACCTTTTTCAAAATCAGCCCGTTCGCAATCACTTGTTTCAAATTTTGATAGTGTATAATGTAGTTAGTCTTCTCCTCTAACGTCGCCATCAGTTTCTTCACCTTCGATCCTGGTGGTATTCCGTTATTTCAGAAGAAAGGAAAGAGGTCGTTATGGTCTTCATGCAGATCTTCTGGATAATCTATGTCCACCTTTTACACCCGGTCGATATCAGATGTGTCTATCATTTTTTTCAAATCCGTCTAGTGTAAGCTCCACCCACTGAAAACCACCGAACGACATATTTTGTGCCATTGCCTATCTACACAAATTGTTACTTAAAATAAACAAACAAATACGAAAAATGATAAATATATGACTGATATATATATTTTTAAATAATATTTATACATACAATCCTGATATATAGTCCATGAATCCTCTTTTGCATTATCGTAGTATTCCATCGCATAATTGTTCGTCTTCCCATAACGCATACTTGCACCAAACCCCTGCGTATACCTATAAAATAAAATAAATTTAATAATCAATATATATATATAATAAAATAATATAAAACTGTTTACTTCTTTCGAAAATTAGCAGCATATCGTAGTCCGGTAAAAGTTCTAGATTTATCTTTATTTATTTCAGCGTGCAGTCGAAACTGAATCTGGGTGCCGTATAGTGGTATGCTGGGTCGAGGTTGTAGGTCATCATACGTATATCACGGAAGTTCTCAAACACGTCAGCCAGCAGCATTACATTAATTTTCAAGTACAGGTCACTGTACTCTCCTAACGTTTAGCAATTGATATGTCTCCATATATTTTTCGTCTACTCGTACTCCTCGTCCTTGATTTTTTCTTCCGCCAGCGTGCTATAAAAATCTGCCTTCTCCGGTAATGACTCTTCCTCCAATTTTCCGCAAATGTTCGTGTACTCGTACGGGTAAACTCCTTTTCTCATGACAAGTGGCAAATCTTCATTGTTAAACACTTTTCTAGTTTCATGGAACTCTTCGAAATCAGTGGTGTTGAGGTATAATGTGAGAAGGGAAAACCTAAATTAAAACTAATTCCCTTGCTAATTCCTTTGTGGTGGGGCATAATAAAAGAAATCTCACCTTTGTTATCGTAAAGTCCTGTATCTTCGATGGCTTGACATACTACAGTATATGATTCGTCATTTTTCTTGTCGATCGTCCATGACACGGTCGAATGTTCATTCCATAGTCCTGCGGTATATGATGGTCCAGCGACGGTATTCGATGGCCTGGCCTGCGGAATAATAGTCAGTGGGGCGACTGTTCCATCACGATGAATAATTTTAATGTGTTCGGCTCGGGTGTCTTTACGCGTAAACATTTTCGGACATAGAGCGCATTGAAATTTAATACCATCATGTGTTTTAGCGTGACGCAACAAATTTTGTTTAGCAGAAAAAACTTTTACGCAACCGGCGAATGTGCATGTGAACATATTTATTTTAGACGTAGAATAAAAACGTTGAAATTAATGAAACTAATTTTATTAACAACAAAAATAACATACTGGATAAAAATGACAGAGAAAAAATAAACAAGAGCGGAAAGAACACTTAGGCGTAGGTTTGTAAAAGAATTACTACTGATGATCGATCATCCTGTTATTGTGGTCATGGGTTTATAACAATCGATTATCAAAAGTAAGTAACAATCGAAATGGTCAATTGTTAACTATCGATTTATATAAAGTGTTCTCCAGTACGTTTCCAAAAACAATTGTAAACTACCATAATGTGTTTCGATCGTTATCGATGATAGATATTAATGTACATGTGTGTGTATGTGTGTGTGCGCATAATTAACTATCGTGTTATCGTTATTGTCGATCTTTGTACCTGTTAGTCGATGATACCAACGGTTATAACAATTATATTGTCGTTAACGAAAATCTCGTCGGTAACGACGACGACTATGGAATATCGATGAAAATCGTATAAAATAATATTTTTATATGGGTACTTATAATTATGATATAGACTAAGTGTAGTGGTAGGTGGGCGGGGAAACGTTAGCTCTTAAAGGAATGTTCTAATCTACGCCCATTGACGTTGCTAATAACAGTTTCATTTTTCTAATAATGTGCATAAATTGATGTTTTATTGTATATGAAATATTTAGCCGGAGTGACGGGTTATAGATAATGGGTATGCGGGGTAACGCGAGCGTGAGCGCGCCAGGACACAAAATAATACTATATACAATAATTGTAATCTTTGTACCCTCATGTGTGCGGACTCACACTAATGCTTTTATATTTCATATAGGATATAAAAAATCCCTTGTCTTCGTCGACCGATATACAATAATATTGTGTTGTATAATATTTAGCCAGAGTGGTGATTATATATGGGTAGATCAGCGAGGTAACGCGAGTGCGGAATATAATATTTATCATAATATCGAAAAATATCATAATAGGTACTTATAAAAGTTAGAAGAGGTTAGTTAATGGATAAGAATGACACCGTAGGTATATAATAACAATGTTGATGTAGGTATATGATAACGAAATAGGTATAACAGTAGGTATGAATTGAGTAATGAGTAAGTAGTCGATAATGTGAAAAAAATTATTTGTATAAAGGGGGCGTGATCGAAATAGGTCGAGTACGTGGTGTATGCAGAAAAATATTATAAAGGGGGTGGGGAAAATAATGTCGACGAATATGTCGATGAAGAGGTGAACAAGTCGGGCGGCCATGTTAAAGTATAGCACCAGCACCGGCACCCGGTACTAGCAGGCAAACCACTATATTTATCCTACTGAGTGATAAACGTAGGTATAACCGTTGTGCGGTTGAACACCGTTACCCCCACTAACCTAACTAACCTAACCTAACCTAAACGTAACCCCCACTACCAAATGACAACTTATTTAAATGCGCATTACTTAACACTGGATTTTTGTAAACTTTAACATAACGTTTCACAAAAACAAATGATAGTAACTGATCAAGTTTGGTATTAAAATTGTTATATTGATATGGGCTTAATGTTGATATGTTTTAAAACCATTAAAAAATGGTTTAATGTTTTTAGAGTCGTTTCAAATTAGTTTCGAAAAGTCTTCTAAGTTCTAATTCCCAAGATATATTATGTACATTTTATTCCAATCCGTCTATGAATATTCTTTTACATATGAATATATATATATATATTTATATTATACAGTATACACAAACTCGTATTTACAAAATAATACTATAAAATATTTGTATAGGTATAAGTATCAATATCTTTTTCTTCTTATCAATCTTCACCTTCCAATTATTTTCTACATTTTTCATCTTTAAATACTCAATTCTCTTTAAAATAATAATACATAGGTATTCATAAATTTGTATTATATATTATATATTTAAATATATATTAAATGAATCTAATAATAAACAATTATTAAAGAAGTGACTGAAGTGGAAAAATGGAATTAGATACATTTTATAAGAGAAATAAGTAAAAAAATAATTATACTAGAAAAAAATGATATAATATAATATAATATAGTACAAAATGCCTAATAATTAAAAAATAAATACAAATTTAAATTATTTACAAATTTTTAAATAATATTAATTTAGATACTTGGTTTTTAAAGAAAATTTATTTTTAAGTAAGTATTCGAGATATATTCAATTATTTTTTAAAATGATGCATTCTAATATTTACAATACTTTTACTTATTCAATTAAATAATATATATTCATGACATTTCTCTAACTTAAGTTAGTTAAATTTATAAGGTTTGTATCAGGAAAAAAAAAAGGTGTATTTTTAAACTAATGGTACACCCAAATGCCGAGCATGACATAACCATTTTCAATATTATACTGGCTATTAAATATTAAAAATAAAAAATTGTTTAAGTAACTTAATTTTAATTTTTTTATACATGCTATTACATGAGTTACCGCGTATTGCGTGTATAAACGATGTGTTTTGCCATTCTATGGTGGGGGTGACGCCAATGTGACGGCTCGTTTTTCGAAACTAAGTCCGAATTCCAGTAGTTGTTATCTATCTCAGTGGTATAACCGTTATATGTAGTAACGGGGATGGTGGTTGTTATGTCGATCACGTGGTAGACAATTCGGGCGGCCATGTATTAGGTTTATCAGACATAACCGACAGCACAAGCACATACACAGGCTCAGGCGTCTGGCCCAGAAGCCCCCAAATTATACTGCTCATATTTTTTATTGGTATACACATAAACAACACAATGACTGATTTTAAACATACAGAACTCACTATGCTTTAAGTTTTCAATACTAAAACAACGTTTTCTTCTGCGTGTTTCAAATAAATTTAATATTTTAATATCCATTGCAGTAAACTCTTTACTCGTTAATAACAAAAAAAATCAAACGTTCAACTAAACCATAGGTATATTATAATCTTATACCATATCGTTGGTAAATATTGTAACTTGTTATACTTAACTTAATTAATACGTGTATCAAAATTGTATTTTGTTGTACGAAATCAAGTTATTATTATTTGTTTTCTTACGTTTTTCGTTGTACGCAAATAAGTTATCGAGTTTACAAGTAAAACAATGTATATATAATGTGCGTAAACGAATATCACCTAGTAAAACCAATAGAACTTTCTCTTTGATTCTAAAACACATAATAAAACCAAAAAATCTGTCACTACACTCAGAATCTAAAAAAAACACATTATATTAAAACCAATACATTCTTCACTCTAATCAGAATCTAAAACACACATCATAGTAAAACCAATATATTATTTATTGCTGTACTTAAAATAATATAACAATATGAAAAATACTTTACACTGACTACATACTTATCTGTGTTGTAATATTTTTGTTGTGGTAATTAATATTTTAATCTATAATTCTATACATAATTATAACACACGTATCAAACGATAACTGATTTATTATATTAAATTATTATTGTTGGCCTTTTATAAGAATAAAATTAATTAACTAATAAAATGTAGAAATTAATAAATAAAATATAATGAAATAATACATGTTAAAAAATATTTGGAAAATAAAATATTCGCATGATGCATATTATAAACCACAATTTATATTTGACAACTTATAATTTATATTATTTAGTTTATTAATGTAGTTGGAAAACTAAATGTTATCACTTTGGGAATAAACAAATATTGCGTGTAAGTAGCACATGGCGTATGTAGACCGCCTAATATCCGAGCAGCACCGTAACATAATGCTAATAATATTATTACTGAAAATTTAATAAGGTTATTCAAAATAATTTATTGACTAAATTTATGGTCAGTTAACATATTTTTATGTTTTGTGTACTTACCTACTTCTGTCGATAATTTATTTAAAATGTAGTACGCATAATTATAATAAATTCACTATGACTATGTGATTTTGTTTTTTATTGCCTATTAATTTGTTTTGTGTCCATAATAATAATATTGTATCATTGTATAAGTAAATATGACATCTAGTACCAGAAAGCACGTAGGGCGGTGGAGTTTTCATATCAAAATAAAGATATCTAAGGCATACTATACGTATATGCTTTCTTATACACGACTAAATAATATTCGATAATATTATATTTACATAAACATATTTTGAAATGATAAATGTGTACATAGAGTACTTATGTAATTATTATGTAATATATATATATGTAATGTTATTATAATTTTCTTTTCTTTTAATTCTATTCCTACATTATTAATTAAATGTACTTATTTTAGATTCTGAGTGTAGCGCAGAAGCTTATGATTTTACAAAGATGTTTATTTTTTTAAATTTTTTTTTTATCCGTGCGCAATTTTCTACCAGAAGACTTGCTCAGATTTCTACGTGTAGCACTTTTTCTGGAAAGAAATCGACGTGAGGAGGTATTCTAAGAAGTTCGTTTTACGAATTTCTCAAGATTTTTTTCATCAAATGCGCAAAACCGAAAAAAACAGGAAAATTTACGAATTATAATAAATATAATTTACGAGATATTTTTTCTGTGAACAATTTTTTTATCAGCAATTTTGCTCCTAAATTTAATGATAGCAATGTTTCTGAATGGAAATTTCACTTGGGAGGTTATTATTTGATTTTCTCAAGAATTTTCTCGGCAAATGTAAAAAACATCGGAAAACCGGGAAAAACGAAGGAAAATTGGGAAAATCGGTACAATATTTAACAAATTTTATTAGAGAAAATATATAAAGTCTATTTAATTATTTTTTTTTTTACTATAAAATGACATATATATATATATATATATATATATTGTTGATAAAGCATTACTATCAACTGAACTTCACTCAGAATCGTTTTTTCGTAAGCAATGGTTTATCGTTGCTTATAGATATACATTAAATTTCTGTCTATATCCCTCACCTACATCAGTGGTTACACCCGTCCCTATTATCTTACCTTTCTTTTTTCCGTATTTGTTTGTTATATTTTATCGTGGCCTAGTAACGCTATAATAATAATATAACGTATACTGTCTACTATAATGATGTTAGACCAACAATAGCCACTGTACTGAATAATGTAATCAAATGAGCACATCTCTTCTATTATTACAACGTTATGTACAACTTTTTGTTGTTGTTGTTGTATAATACTTATAGATAATATTATTTAAGGCAGTACAGTTTTTTAAAATGACCCAATCGGTTAATGTTATAGTCGATCATGTGAGTAATTTAATACTTTTTAAGTTGGAGAAATTAAAAAATTTATCTGTAAATTGTATTATAATATTACTGTTTAATTATTATGTTAAATTTAAATAATATTATAAAATATAATAATGTAACAAAAATATTAATATTAACTTTATTCTGAGTGAAGTTAGGAGTGTAGTATTAATTTTACCATAATAAATGTTTAAGGTTCTGAGCGTAGTAAGGCATGTATTAGTTTTACTACGATGTATATTTGTTTTTTGTCTATAAATCACCAGAAATTTCCATCATCTATCAGAAATTTTACTTGAATAAAAAAATAATAAGGTATCTTTTTGTTGTATTTTGAATCTAGTTAGTGAGTAAGGTTATTTTTTCAAGCAGTTTTCGTCACAATTGGAAAAAAAAAAACAAAAAAGTACGTTTTTTTTTGTATCTGAGCAATTTTTCTATCAGCCAACTTGCTCCGAAATATCAAATGAAGCATTTTTTTCGAATGGTAATTTAATCTAGTTGGTACATTGGGGAGGTTATTTTTTGATTTTCTTAGAGGTTTTCAAAATAATCGGGAGAACCCCGAAAGAAAATTGAAGTTAAAACGGTAACGTGGCCTCCCGGTTTAATTATTTTAATTTTTGCAAACGGTATTTTCTGCCGGAAATTTTGTTTAAATTGAAAAATAACAAGGAATCGATTTTGTTATCTTTAATATAACCACTACCAAAGAAAGTCATATTTTAATAGGTAAATTATTTTTCATAATACTTGGAAAAAATTAAAAAAGATGAAAAATTAGATTTTTTTTTCAAATTATGGCGCTACGATTTTATTTTTTTTAACTTATAGGATTATGTTTTCTACAAAAAATATTGCTTCATTAGAAAAACGACAAAAGACCTTTTTTGTTATATTTTAAATCTAGTTGGTGGCTAAGAAAATCACTTTTTAATTTGTCTAGTAGATTTTTTAATAATTTAGCAAAACCGAAAAATATGTAGAAATTACGTTAAAATTTACGAAAATAATTTTGATATTATTTTTAATTTTGTTTCTTTTTTTAAATATAATTATAGAGATTGGACATTTTGACTGATTATTTATATTTGTTTTTTCTAAATGAGGTCAATTTTAAAAAAATATTATGTTATTTTAAGCTATTTAATATAGTAATTTTAATTTTGGGGGTTTTTTTTAATGTAATTTTTATTTAGTAGGTATTCTGTTGATAAAATTGTTAGACCAAACAGAAATGCTTGAAAATTTAACGGGAGGTTCATTAAAAGTCGTGCTTAGTGGTAAAAAAATTGAGTGCAATATTTAATTTTATTTTTTTCATAATAGTTTTGACATATTAAGTTCTTTATAAGAGTTTTGAGATTAAATTTTGACGAAAATTGTAATTATTACGGCCTTTCAAAACATGTATAACCGAAATCCAAATCGGTTTCATTAGCTAAGATTATTCGTTGCGCACAAATATAAATAATATTCCTCTATCTATGTATTCCTATATATATATATATTCCTATATCTAACATTCTCTAACCTAAACTAACCGACCCCCATCGTGCGAAGTATGTTCGACTTTTTTAAAATTAAAATTGATCAATTAATATTTAATCAAACTTCACTCAGAATCTTTTTCGTTTATAAGAATGTTTTGTTAAAAATAAATTACCCCATGAATCCTACCCTCAAAACTTTCCACTTATCCAGAACGGTGCCTCAATTTTTTTCTTTATAGACAAATTATCGTATTTTTTTTTTCAAATTTTTATTTGACAAACCTATAGATGCCCCCCTATTTGTTATTATTAACAAATGACAGCATGATTTATGGCATCTCAGGATATATAGGTGAAATATGGGAAATCATCGAAAATCGTCTTAATATTAGGTAAGTATAATATTATATTAATAAAATTTATTTTCATTTTACAATAATTAAAATTTTTAGCAATATTATTGATAATTTAGAAATTTTTTATTGTATATCGAATAGGTATTAATTACTAGTTTAGTGTGTTATCAATTACTGTTAAAAAGTATCGTAGTTTTATTAGTTTCTGTTTTTGCATTATTTCTAGTAACATTTTCACCTGGTATTGGTTTCTGTTCTGCGGCGTTCTGTTCAGTACTGTTGATACTGATTGCGGGCGCAATGTCCTCGACTTTGTCACCGTTTTCCAATTTCGATTCTTGTAATAGTTCCGTTGGCAGATCCCTGGTATTAAGTTTGGTATCTACGATGATTACTTCCGGTGTCGTAGCTAAATTTGCCAATGGCATTTGGACCTTAAATCATACTCAGATTGTGATTAATACTAGAATAGGCAGGTATAATTTGGGTAGATATAAAGTGTACATTAACAATTGGATATAGGTATGAAAAAAAAAAACATGTACAATAAATTCGTAGGTAAACAAAATCGCATTAATAAATTACGTTCCTTACTTCATGCTGTGAAGAAGTCACGACGTCCTGCCGCTGATTTTCTGGTATTGGGGGAAATATACTCTAAACATTACAATACGGAAACTATCAAATAATGATATACGGGCGTCTGTCCATTTCAATTTGTAATCAGGCGTGCCCAATAGGTAAGACCAATTTTTGATCCCTTAAAGAGTAGGTAATAATATTTATAAAATAAATAACAAAATATATTATTTAAGATGATGATTAATACTCGAAAATAAAAAGTAAAATAAATGTATTCAACAAAATCTGTCCTAGGATAATAGGGACGGGTGCAGCTCCTGTTATCGGTAATTTATTATATATCTACATGAATATTTTCGACACATAATAAATTGACTTATAATAAAAAACATTCACATGTCTTTGCACGATGGGTAGCCTACTGTTGTAGATGAAAAGTTTGGAAGGTAGGATATAGGGAAGAATTTAATGTAATGTAAGAAAAGATTAACCATTCCTAACATATAACATTATGGTAAAATAATTGCGTATGTATTTTATATTTTCTTTAATAATAAATCTTTGTTTATTGTACTTATTTTCCCAATTTTTTCAATTTATTGAGAAAAATCTTGGGAAAATCAAAAATGGCCTCCCTAAAGTACCTCCTCAGTCAGATTTTCTTTTGAAAAAAGTGCTACCATTGTAAATCGGAGTAAAATTGCCGGTAGAAAAGTTGTTCACAGGAAAAAAACAAAAAATAAATGAACATCATTGTAAAACCAATACATTCCTCGCTCCACTCAGAATCTAAAAAAATGTGTAACAATTTTGTTTATTATTATTAGGTTTTTTTCTAAAAATCAAAAGTAATCATAATAAAAGAACCGATAATATTTAATACTCCAGTTTGAGTTACGTAACCTATCTATTATAACCTTAGTGAATACATGAGTAAACTATTCTTTTTTCTCTGGCTTTTAAAATTCTTTAAGAGTTTTCGTCACCTACATTACTTTTCCCACTTCATTTCCTCTGATTTTAGACAATTTTTCTTAAACCATATACTGATAAATTATATAACACTGAATATATATACTGAATCCGCGTTTGCAATACCCAACTGGTGACAACCGTAAAAAAAAACAGGTATTCATAACAATTCGTATTTTAAAATGTTTATAATATATTAATGATAATTATAATAACAATATATTTATTTATATGAGCATACAAATTAAAATTTAAATCAACTTAACTTGTTTAAATATAAAATTAATTCTAGTTAATTATAAGTTAATTTTTTGTATTCCTCAAGTTAACAATTAAGTTGATAGTTAAAAAAAATAATAAATTTATTAAGTAAATAAGTTAATTAATTCAACTTTTTAATTTAACTGTCAAGTTATTAACTCGTTAATGCTCAGCCTTGATATCCCTATAAGGCTATAATCTATATTATATTCTATTAGCGCATTGGAAATAAAAGGTATAAAATAAAAACGAAAATAATATAAATGAGAATTTTAAGGACATAAGGTGGATATGACATGTTATCATTCAATCAGGTTGGATGTAATTATTAAAAATGAATATAATATACTGGTATAATCTGGGACTAGTAGTAGGACTAGTAGGAGAGTATAGTGACTAATTATTATCTAATGTATTAATTGATAGGTATAAATTGATATTTTTTTGATCATATATTTATTATAAAAACTAGATATATTCAGCTGTAATTTATAGTCAAAATTAATGATTATAAATATGGTAATATTAAAAACCTACTTATCAATTATGAATTTTTAACTTATAACCTTATCAACATCCAATTATCTAACTATAGGCTTGTTAACCCTAAATTTCGAATTTCCATTTTCCAGCTATAGTATATTTTAGGATATAGGTACATGACTTGATGAGATTGATATAATATAATAATTATTGAAAAATAAAAATTCGGGCTCGGATTAACGTAATATATAGACGACGTAGATACGTGGCTAGATTTATACAATGACAGAAGCTATTTTATTTCTAGCAATATACAATAGCGTCCCAAAGTTAAACGTATTAAAATATTCTAAAAAATATAATTTTATGTTATAAATTTCAAATCACTTATAAGGTAATAATTTTACATCTAATGTTCTAGAATCTAGAACATAGTTATACGCTGTACGCATTATAAACAAGCATCTAGAATCTAGATGCTAGTTTATGACCGTTAATGGACTAATAAAAAATATTTGTCGATTAGGTCTATTATACATTATGTGAGTATTTTATGCAGTATAATAATATTCGGGTCACGTCCTGTAACTTCCTGATCTTGGGCACGCCTCTGGATTTGTGTACGAGCTATCTTATCGTCGTATACTCGTATTAAGTAGGTACCTATCAATAGCGGCGTGAATGGGTATTGTATGAAACATAGCTGGTTAAATGGCCATATAAGTTGGATGGTACTTTATCTTTAGATATGTTACAAAAAAGTTTAAGTTCAGGAACGTTAAGTAGTTTTAGTTACAGCTCCTGATTCTTATCTGAACTTGGGTTGTATATGAGGTTTTTTTGCTATTTTACTCTGAAATTGTTTCGTTGAACGTGGATAATTTCACACCGCCACTAGGTAAGTAGATAGGTATATTATATATTATATAGGTTACCTAGGTACAAGACTATTAACACTTACCCCGAGAACTAATAGTTGTCCGGCATACACGGACAGACAAAAAATGATGAAAATCCACTGCGCCGTCATTTCGGCGGCCAATCGATCTTTTTTGGACAATAATAATTATTATAGTTTTACAAATAATGAGAAATCGTGTTTGTTTTTTTTTCGGACGACGACGACGATGATAGATAACAATAACTACTATACGTACCAACTAACGAACGAATAACGATAGATATAGCTATGGTTATAGATCGCGGTACCTATATAGGTAGGTGTTATAGCATTGTTTTTTTTCGCGATACTGTTCACGTGAGGAGACAGCGGTCCGACGCATAGACAATAAACGTGTCATTGAAAATGTAAAACCGAAACAATAAAAGCTAGAAACGCTATTGTAACGTGTATAGGTAGGTTTACGAGCGAGTATACCAATATCTATGTATAATATATATATATATATATATATATATATATATATATATATTTAGGAAGGGGTATACGTATTTAGGTACTTGTATACCTATGATAGGTAATTACCATGATGTATACCCGTTTGAGCAATTATACACGCGTGTGTTTGCGAATTTTAAATTCGTAAAACAAGGTGTTTACCATTTTTGACAAGACCAATATTATTTGATGTCAAACAAACTTGCGTGTTTGCGTGCGCGCGTGTGTGTGTGTAAGTATACAGATAGATAGATAGGTATATTTTAATAGGTATACTCGAGTAGGTATCTAAATAGGTAATAAATTATATTATGTACTTAGGTACTGTCATACCGATTCGTCTGAGGTATAAATATTATTATTATTACAATATTCTATTATTGTGACAACTGGTTTGACCGCATATGTTACTATAATTAATGCGAATTGTAGGTACTTACACCTATATAGATTTAGATATATATTCACACGTTTAAATGCCATAATAATAATGTGTTTTATCATGACCGTATCAATAATAATTATTGTAATATAGGTACGATCGAATAAAAAAAAAAAAGGAGCCGATATTGCTGATGAGTGCGCCACTGTTGTAGATGGGAAGTTGGGAAGTTAGGATGGATAAAATTATTTAATTTATTCCTGTTAGCAATGATAGACTATTGCTAAAGCAATATGATTCTGAGTAAAGTTTAGTTATACATACTTTAAAGTAACATTATTTAATAATTTTCGTCAAAATGTGATCTTAAAAAGATTATAAAAAACTACTGCATTATGCTCAATGTTTTTTTTTCGAATACTATAAGTACGACTTATAACGAACTTCGTAATACATTTTCAAGCATTTCTGTTTGGTAAAACAATTTTGTCTATAATAGAGAGCCTATAATAATTGTTTTTTGCAACTCAGCGCTCATATGTTATAATAGTTTGAAAACAAATGGAACGAAATTAAAAATACCATAATAATATATAATGAAAGAGAAACTAAATTGATTTAATGATTATTATCTTTTTAACTAAATAAATTCCCAGAAAAATTAGTATACAATATGCATATAGAATATGTAGTAGTTAAGTGAGAACTTACTGTACTTATAAATATATATTATAGGACATACTAGGTGTACTAACATGGCAATGTCATGATGTCTGAAATGGTATATTGTGGGTCGTTATTATTCTCTAGTTCATCCATATATTGAAAATCTAAAATATCGAATAATATAGGGAACCTTTAGTCTATTTTTCTGAAAATTAGAAAACATATTGGTTTTAAAATGTAAAGAAAAAATACAAATACGATTTTAGCTGCCAAATCGTCAATTATTTTAGTTTATCACATTTGCAATTTTCAATTTAAACAGCACGTCAGAAATATTTTCATAAATATAATGAACTAACAATAAAATTAATAATAAAACACATTATGGATACTAGTAATAAAATACAATAGGAGCTAATCAAATTCGTGTAATACGATGGTGTGCACTTTTCGCCTGTGCGGTTTCCGCTCAATAAATTTCTCGTGCTATTTCTGTCCAATGTCCTAAATTATAGTTTTAATTCTGATTGATAATTTACATTGAAAATTTGAAAAAAGTCATGCATTGCATCGAACTTTAGTTTTTCGATTTATTCATCGGTTTTGTTTTTATTAGTAATTTACTATTGTTATTGCTTTTATCTTTCCTCATTTTGTCCAGAGATTCGTTGGCGGAACTTTCAAGCTATTATATTTTTATTTAAGTTAAATGGTTTGTTTTTTGTTTTAATTTTAATGCTAGATTTTACAGAATATAAATATTGATATATTTCTTTAAAGTGGCTGGAAAGGTGTATTCAGAGTTTAGAGGTCAGGACACAAAGACATCTTTTAAACATTTACATTGAGTGTTTAAATTTTAAAGTAAAATATTTTATCATTTTTTATAAGTTATTAAAATAATTTTTAAAACTCCATCTCTCCATTGAAATTTGTTTTAAAATGCCCCGGTGTCAGGTAAGTATACAATAGTATAGGTAGGGGCAAAAACCATCTTTGTCAGGGGTGCAACTGATTATTACAAGGGAACGTTGATAAATAATTAAATTTATAAATACATTATACACAAATACGCATTTATCAATTCAATTTCAATGACAACACTAGTCATAAATTTCGTTAATTTTCAAATACTGCGTAAAAATATTGATGTATTTTCTTAACAAAAAAAACGAAAAAAAAAAAGAAGTTTTAAAAATAAGCATACAAAGGAATTTTTGGAAAAAATATTAAGTATTTCATAAATAATAATGAATTGGGTAAAAAATCCGCATCTTTTGAGGTATGACGTGAAAAAATTGGAGCAATTTTACTAACCAAAAGAGTGTAAAAAATACACATATCTTAATAAAAGTAACAGCTTCATTGCAACACATAAAATATAAAAAATAGTATAATATATGTAAATTGTGTTTTTACAGGAGCAATTATGTCAGAGCAGACTTTCCAACCGGCAAAGAGATGCTGAAAGACAAAACGGGTGATGTGGTCTTGGTTCCGATCGTCGTCACCACCGTCGACGTGCAAGATTTTGATTTTTCTGTTCCGGTGTTTAAATCTTGGTAGGTAGGTTAAGTTAAGTTAGGTAAATAATAATAAATGCAATTTTAATTTATATTTCTAATTTAAGTAAATATGATAATAAATGAAACATTGTTTTTTATTTATAATTTATTTTTTCGATATAATAACAAAGTGGGGCCTTACTTAGGTGAGTAATTGTCTTGTTATTCTAAAACTCTAAGTGTTGCATAGGGTTCAGTATTGCGTAACAATAGCATACTAAGCAATTTTTTTTTTTTGAGATCTTTACTACCTAGAAACGAATATTATATATAACCTATGCTTTAAGTAGATATGCTTCAACCCCTCCCCCCATTAAAAAAAAAGCTTTCCTAGGATAGGACTAATGTATACATTAAATACCTCTTCTACTATCTTCTCAACTTCTCACTTACAACAGTAGCTGCACCAACGTATGAGGTATGTGCGTCTTTTTTTTTTCATTTATTCCCTTCTAAATTTAATTCAGTATGTCCAATTCGATGGTAGGATATATATATATATATATCTGTAAGCAACGATAAGCCATTGCTAATGAAAATACGATTCTAAGCGGAGTTTGGTTGATAGCGTAGCTTTGACTATAATATATATGTTATATTATGGTAAAATAATTACATACCTATGCATTGTATATTTTTTTTAATAATATTTGTTTAATATTATACCTATTTTTCGTTTTTCTTATGTATTTCCCATGCTTTTTTCTGATTTTTCCAATTTATTGGGAAAAATCCTGGGAATATCAAAAAATGACTTCCTTAAAGCACCTCTCCAGTCAGATTGGGAGTTACAATTGTAAATTGATGCAAAATTTGTGGTAGAAAAATTGTTCACAGTGAAAAAAAAAACATTATTTAAAATTAATACATCCAAGGAACATCTATAAGGTTAGGTAAGGTAAGATACATCTATCTAAAAGATAATAATATTAATAACAATTTGAACTCAATTAATATAATTTAACAATATAGTTATTGTGATATTATATTTTTGTCAGGCATATTATTGGGATCGAAAGGACTGTTTTGGAAAAAATCAAAATTAAGAATATTAGATAATAATAAGACTTATTTATTTATTTATATTTAGTAGTCTGTTATCAGATATTTTATAATCAATTAGTAACTTTGAAAGTTTCAATATTTTGCTAGAACTAAGGTGATACTCTAAAGAGGTCATTTTTTGGTTTTCCAAGGAGTTTTCCCAATAAATGGAAAAAACCGAGAAAAACATAGGGAAAACGTAAGAAAAATGGGACAATAGATACAATATTAAACAAGTATTATTAAAAAAAATGTTTAATGTGTATGTAATTATTTTACTATAATATGACATATATATTTTTGGCAAAGCAATTATATCAATAAATTCCACTCAGAATCGATTTTTCCTTGTCAATGGTTAAACGTTGTGTACAGATTACATTGAATTCCTATCTTTTAAATTTCCCACCTACAATATAATACAATATACTCGTACCCGTCTTCATTATCCTAAGATAGATTTGTTTTTTGTATACTTGTATTTATTGAAAAAAAAAAACACAACAATAAATCAATAAATCATAAATAAGGCTCGTAAGTTATAGAAGCTAAAAAAAGGCAATACAGTAGAATCCGCTTAATGGGGACACACCGGGCGGTAACTTATTTGTCCCCATTATCCGACTATCCCGATTAGCCGAACTGACGAAAAAAAACAACTTTAGAAAAACTAAAAAACTTTATTTAAAAAATATATACATACTTGATTCATACTTTATTTAAAAATTACATATTATTATTATTATTATTATTAGCAGTTGTACATTATATTTACTATTTAGTATAATTATATCGTAAATTTATTTAATACATTTTGTACATACTTAATTCATATTTTGTTAGGCTGCAGAAAATCGTCCATTCTTCTTTGCTGTAATTTATCAAGACTTTGCTTATTGATAAAATCTGAAAAAACATCTAGTGAAGTTGTTGGGACATTTTCGTTTCCATTTTGCATGTAATATAGTCTCAGCTGATCAATGCACTTTTCTGCTTCTCTTGTTGTAATTTTGACGGGTTGAACGTCGTCATTTTCATCACTGTTGGGATGTGGTCCAGCATTATCAACAATTGTACAATTTTCCTTGATTGTNCCATTTCCTACGCATTGCGCTACATTATTTTCAATAGAAACAAAAGGAGGAATAGGTAAATCAATGAGTGTTCTGAAACCGCAACGTGCAAAATAATACTGATTCGTAACAGACGACACTTTTCTCTAGCTGTCAGCGACAAATTGTATAGCTTGTAAAATATTTATTTTAGAACTGATATCTATAGCACATGAAGATAGAGTTAATAAATTATCTTCAATAGCCTTCAAAATGTATGTCACCAGCAGTCCACGGTAATGAGTTTTTAAATTCTTAATGATCCTCATATCGAGTGGTTGAATGAAAGAAGTAGTATTTGGAGGCAGAAACTCAAGTGTGATATTTTTTAAATCTATCAAGTGGGGATGTGGTCCAGAATTATCAACAATTAATACAATTTTCCTTGATTGTTTTCCAAGCTCTTTGTCCCAGTCTTTCAACCACGATGTAAATATTACTGCTGTCATCCATGCATTTTTATTCGCTAAATAAGAAACGGGCAAGTTTGTTATTTTTATATTTTTGAAACATCTTGGCTTTGCTAACTTTCCGATTATCAACAGCTTTTTTTTTATCTGTGCCTGCCATATTACAACAACACAAAACTGTTATACGATCCATAGCTTTTTTGATCCTTCGAGTGTTTCATGTTTATAGCACAAAGAACCATCCGGAGTCGCTCGGTAGAATAAACCGTATATGTATATGTATGCAAATATGCACGAACAAATTCTAAAATATGCATGAAAAAATGTTAAATATGCAAAAATGTAATAAGTATACGAAAAATTATTCAGTTTATTTTTCAAAAATATATAATGTCATTATTAACATGCATAAAAAAGATGAAAATTAAATACGAATCGCACCGTTGTCGTTAAATTAATAATAGACTGAGACGATAAGAAATAACAATAAATAACTACGTTGAAGTGCAGTCACAAAGATAGCACCAGCATGTTTGTGTGTAAATTTCCACACACAGGCCCTAGGGTCTCTAGGAAAATCCAAAAATGCTAGAAAAATCTAGTGAAATTCTTAACAAAATTTTGATACTAGTTTTATAGTCATACCATAATGTGCCTATGTTAACTTGATAGACATCATTAACTATAGTTAATACTAGATATACTACATTTATTAGATAATTATACTTACTAATATTGATACAATAATATTTTCAGGTACGAGCTGTATTCCAAGTATACCGTCAATCGAGCGACTTCGGTGTCGTACTTAGTTACTTGGAGTCCGGAAGTTTGGATGGCGTTCGGATTGACAATGTTCGTAATCGTCTTGTGTATGTGGCTTGTCGCTCAAGTCAGGTTTGTACATATAATAATAATAATTATTTATCTCAGTGTTTCTAAAAGGGTGTTTATCGGCACACTGGTGTGCAATGAAATTTGAAAGGCGTGTTGCGACAAATTGAACTTTATTCTATTAAAGAACCATCGTAAAATAATTATATAATTTTATTAAAAACAATTTTTGGAAATATTAAATATAAAATCAAATTTAAAATATAACGGAATAAAAATAATTTGAATACAAATAAAATAATATTGATTTATTATCATATCTCCAAATTTGAGTGTGAAACGTGTGTCTGGTGTTTAGATTACAAATTCAACAAAAAAAGTTTCTTGTCGTTTTTTTACTGGAATAATATTCCTGGTAGAAATTATAAAACGTAACAATTTAAAATCCATAAGCAACCACTCATTTATATTCTCTTCATCACAATCTCTAAATACATGAACTTGGCTTATACACTTCAGTATTACAGTTATTTCAAAGCTATTTAGTTCCATGTTTTGGGTGTCCTCAGCTCACTTTAGTAACTTATTCTATATATGGTTTTAATCCGAATAATTGGACGTCCGGTTGATTGACGTTCGGATAATCGGCGTTCCGCTATAACGGAAACGTTACGCCATAAATTTATCAGTTTTTGTCTTTTTTGGTTTTCTCTAATTATTAGGAATACTGTTTAAAAAATTAAAAAACGACTTACTTCCTCAGTAACTAGATCCAAAATGAACAAAAAAGTTCACATGGATTAGGTATTAATATCGATATCTTCTTATCTTCCATTTTGGAAATAAAGGAAATGGGTTGCATCTTGGGGAAAAAATGATTCTATAATTATTATTTTTAGGCATTTTTCGTATGTGTCTGTCGGTGATGCGATTGCTGTGACCGCGGACGACAGAGTTCCTCCTCCCAGTCTAATATCGTATTTTTTTATCGTGTGGGGATCAATTTGCAGTCAAGGTACGTATGAGGAGATGTAATAATTATTAATAATCGAACTAATACGAAAACGTGAGTTTCTAGAGTATGTAAGTACATCGGTTACAATTGCAGGGGGGCAAGGAGGGATATTTCGTCTCTGCTTTTTCGTGCTTATTATACCTATTCTTAGATATTGATGTCTCACTTCTAATTCTCTTTTCTATAAGTTTTTCCCATATCTTTAAACTATGACTCATACATTTTATTCATTTATAATTTACACATTCTTGTACATCTCCTTTCTTTTTAAAATAGGTATTACAAAAATTCTTTCTCCATACATCTGTTATTTTTAATTTTATTAATATCTTATTGAAAAAAATCTTTTAACCAACCTAGTTATATCTAGCTCCCCTAACATTTTATTTTATAATTTTTAAATATTAAACTAAAATTGTGTTGTTTATTAAAACATAGGTATGTTCATATAAATAAGTAAAAAACTAATAGGTAACTTAATAGGTAAGTTTATTAAAATAAATTAATAAATATTGGTTAAATATTTGTTGTGTGTTAAATATATCATAAGTTAATCAAAGTTATCGAAGGGCCGCCCCTCCTCCCCGAAAAAAGTTCAAAAACCTCCACCGTTACTCTGTACTCTATATCTTTTAAACTTCATATCCACTTTAATGGCCTACTATACTTATCGTGAAAAGTACATCGGGCTTTTTATAGGTAGGTACGTTTCGTCCCGTTTTTATTGCTACAGTTGTTATTAATTGGCGTTTTGATCATAGGACTTCATACGGTCAGCACGGAGGCGTGTTCAGTGAGGGTTGTATCCTGGGTCACCTTGCTATTTGGACTGTGCATCAGTACCTCGTACTCGGCCGTCCTGTTTTCTCGGTTGACCGTCGATAAGTCTGATTTGGGAATTCCTACGTTGGAGTCTGTAGCAAGGCAAAGGACACACGTGCTGTGTGTGCGCCGCTCCAGTTTCGGCGCTCTACTATTTAAGGTAAATAACGGATAAAATGTAATATACTATTTAAACGTTTTCTTCTTAGGTTTTACAATAATAAACAAATAATTTCTAACTGGAAAAATATGTTTTATATCCTTGTGCGTGCGTGAAAATAATTAGGTACAATTAAGGAAAGTATTTGGGGCCCAAGTCCACATAAAATATTTCGTGTTTTCAAAATCTCAACAACTGTGTTAGGTTAATATAATATTTATGGCGTAGGAAAAGTAGCATTACCTAAGTGTACCTAACCTTACAAAAATTACATAAAAAATTTTACAAATAGGTATTTGTATTAATATAGTACCTATTTTTCCGGTTTTTTACTTTTTTTTTTTTAAATTTTTCCTGTGAAATAGAGCTACACTAAAGGTCATAATATTTTTTTACTAATATCTATATTTCGTATATTTTCCTACATTTTTTCGAGGTTTTTCTCATTTATTGGGAAAATTTATTGGAAAATTAAAAAATATCGTCTCTAAAGTACCAGTCCAGGAAAGCTACCTTTCAGAAAAGGTGCTATACTTCGAAACAAGAATGTTGGTAGAATTTTGTACACTGTATATATATATATATATATAAAACAATTTAATGTAATCTCGGGACTATATTGAGACCGATGATTGGTTACGACAATTCCCGTAATACCGGGAATGTCAAAGTATTTCGGGATTGTATTCTGTAATCTCGTAATTTTCATTTTCTGCAGGCCAATGAAACGGACTTGGAATATATGAAAGAGTGGAGGGGGGTGGTGAATGAGCCACCATGTCCGCAGACGGACTACGAGGGAGTGGTTACCATGGCCAAGGCGGTGTGCCGGGAAAATAATTTGCTGGTTTTGGAGACGCCAAATGTGATGGCTAGGGCCATGGCTGACCAGGATGGTTGTCGGGTCGTATCCTTGGCTGGGCGGCACGCGGTCGCCTATGCATCCTTGCTCACCGCTAAAGGTTCATCATACACATCCGAGATAAACAACATGTAATGTATAATATAAAGAAATTCTTACTAATATAATATAATCAATAGTTTATCATCATTAACCTGTATATTTTTAACCTGTTAAAACCTTTGTATGCCAATGGCCATAGTCACCGAGGTTTAATATAAAAAAAAAAAAAGAAAAAGAAATTCTTAGGTAAAAAAAAAAACTTCTTTTGCTAGATTTCAATAGATCTTTTATAGCTAGTGAAAAAGATTTGAAAAGTGTCATTACTATTTGAATCAGTTACACTTTAAATTTAAGTAGAGATTAAGGCTTCCTTAGAATTAGTTTGCATGTTGGTATTACTCAACATGTTACCGCTTTCTTGTTACATTAAATATTTATACATACAGAGTACCGTAGTTTTTTGTTTGCAGCTCATGAAATGGTCTCGTGTTTTTTTATGATAAAATAAACTTTTAATAACGACGTCAAAATGTAATGAACCGTAATACGACGAGAAACATACCGTTTGTACGTGCCAGTGCTATAATAAGATACTTTAAATTAGTATCTAGATACAGATACATTTTATTTGAAAGTATCTTAAGAGTATCATCAGATACATTTAGGAAGACGGATTTAAATAAATATTTAATTCATTAAAAATATAGGATTATAAAATTATAACAAAATAAGTAATGGGTACATAATGTATAATACAATAATTTTTGTCTACATGTTTATGTCAATTTTCAAATATAATTTTATTCTTATAAAGTTATGAGTTATAATACATAATACATAACAATAATTTTAAAATATTAGTTAATTATTAGTAAATATAAAATAAATAATAGATATTATCCACCCGTCAATACAAAATAGTCATATACTCATACATAATAATTTATAATAATAAAGAAATAAGAAAATAAATTGTTGATATTTTTATTCAAACAAAATTATATTTTAGAATTTTACGTTATTTTCATATTTTATTCATCCAAAAAAGTAAGAATTGTATCTTAAAAATTATCTAAGATACTTTCGTTAGGATACTCAATATTTTGTATCTAAAAATCGTGGAGTGAGCTTGTTATAGTTGGGAAATATCGGAAGGAAATTATCACGAAAAAAATGCGTAAAAAAAAATTATCTTGTAGTGACTCTACAAGTCAGTTTCACTTAAGACTCCATTACTTACGGTTTTATATAATACTAGTTGTCCCGCGCCCGGCGTTGCCCGTACCAATTTTTATTATTATTATTTTACCCATATTCATTTTTGGTTTTGGAATGGCCATGTTAGAATTGAATGAAAACAAATAGGTGGAAAGTGGGTAGTCCACCTGCAGCGGCCTAAATGTGTTCTATTGTGATATTTGAATAGTGTAAATAATAGTGATAATAAAAATTATAATAGTTTTATTTTATGTGTCGGTGACTCGTTGACAGGCCAGTCTATCTCAATGCATTAGCTCGACGGCGTTCATTGCGTTGCTCTTGACTTTCATTAGTACGTGTGATTACAGCCTGGTTTCTTAAATTTTCATTGTCCTCGATTTTTTTTTAAATGGGGGGGGAGGTTGATGGATTTCAAAGGAAGTTAAGCCTTATTTAACTTATCAGGGAGTGGGGATGCTCGACAGCAGGAAAGCACGTGTACCGTATTATAGCTAATTGCTTGTATTACTTGTATTACGGTTCAAATCACCACCTTTGCGTTTTGTTGCCATTGAAATATGTGCAAAACACACGTACATAGGTTAGGTTAGTTTAGCAAAATTAGCCAAATCGGCCCAGCCATTCTCAATTGTTATTGGCACGCGAGTGTCACGGAAACTAATAATAAAAAATAACCACATAGAGTGTATATTATCTCTGCATGGAAAAATAATAATTGTTGAATATCGTGCGTGCTAGTATACTTTGACTTAAGAGGCCATAACTCCGGAACCACTTATCGCAGAGCATATAAACTTAGATAGTAGCCGATTCTCAGACCTACTGAATATGCATATAAAATTTCATGAGAATCGATCAAGCCGTCTCGGAGGAGTATGGGAACGAATATTGTGACACGATAATTTTATATATAAGATAATATATGATACAGAAAATAAAGTCCTATTACAAATAAATAACAATGACAGTGCTAAAGTTCATAGTAACATAACATTAATCCATATTCCTCTGTAGATAAAATAAAAATAACAGATTTATCAAGGTTATCATAAATATATTAATTGTTTATAAGTTGTTGTACACGATTGGAAGTTTTGTTTTAAGTTTGTATCGTTCTTACCTAATTATTATAGTGCACTTTTAGATTCTGAGTGAAGCGAAAAAACTTATGGTTTTTCAAAGATGTTTTTTTTATTTTTCATCTGTGAACAACTTTTCTACCAGAAACCTTGCTCCGATTTTTAAGTGTAGTACCTTTTCTGAAAATAAATCAAACTGGGGGGGGGGGTACTTTGAACAGGTCATTTTTCGATTTTCTCATTAGATTTCTCAATAAATTGGAAAAACAGGAAAAACCATAGGAAAACAGAAAAATAGGTACAATATTAGACAAATATTATTAAAGAAAATGTATAAGGTCTATGTAATTATTTTATCATAATATAGCAAATATTATATTGTTGACAATGCCTCTACACTATCAACTGAACTTCACTCAGAATCATTTTTTCGATAGCAATGGTTTATCGTTGCTTACAGATATACATTCAATTTCCTCTCTACTAGCTTCCCGACTTTTCACCTACAACAATGGCTGGAACCCGTTGCAAAGTTGTCCTGTTTTTTTTAATATGCATATTTAGCTTATTTTATAGATTTAAATGCATATTTTTGGTTTGTGTGTATCTATATTTTGTAAATTTTCCTACTATAACTTCTGAGTGGTATCATTTCTCCAGCCAATAAATTTGATCAAATTACATATTTAATATCATAGTGATTTTGCGGGCCAAATCGCAAATTGTACGAACTATTAGCTTTTTAGTTTTCGATAAATATATGTGCCTATAATTTGTGTGATTTTGTGGACCGAATATTCGAGTTGGTGAATGGGAACCTTGCAAGGTTTATTGTTAAGCCAAATAGGATTTTTCACCATATGTATAAAGACTCTACAGTAGCGTATTAAAATTCTTTGCTTTTTTTTCTGTGTGCCGTAGATTGGTGTCACTATTTACCAATGGCGTAGCCGACTATTTACAAAAGAAATGGCTGTCCCGAGAGTTTCATGACCGGTCATTTACAGAGGCAGACAGCGTAGGCGTGACCATCGGTCACGTGCAGGGCCTGTTGGCTGTTTTAGGGCTATCGGTGGCCGTTGCTGTAGCTATTATGATCACTGAAATCGTCGTCAGCCGTGGATCATCGTCGTCGTCATCTCTTTGGTTTGCATGACATGCCCAAGGCTCACTGGTCACCACCATCGGTGGTCCTGTAGTAATGCTGCATTAACAACATAGGTATTACGGAATAGCACTTTTCAGGGATGAACTCCAACTATCGGCCGCAAAAACAAGTGTACACGAAAACGACAATTAATTTTTTTTGATAGCAGTTATAACCATAGCTGATGAATTATTATAATAATTTGCATACACTATAGTTTCTACCTATTTATATATTTAAAATAATATTATATTATAGAATATTAAATAATTTAAAATGTATACTGATTGTTATTTTTGTTAATATTAACACATTTTTTCGTTACAAAGGATGACTCACATTAAACAAATCAAACATTTCAACACCAGGTGCAATAACACAATTATTTTTAGGTTTTTCACTGATAAACTCATCTGGATTATTTTCTTCTCTCAAATATCTAAGTAGTATCTCTTTTAAGTCGGCTACCAGCCCTGTTGTTATTAAATTTCGATGAGATAATTCGATAATTAATTTGTCTTTAGTTAATTTATGAACCCAAGTTGTGGATACTGCTGTAAAATCTATAATGGAAAGTTTTGTATTGTCCTGATTATCCTGTTCCATTTCAGACATGTGAGGATTTTTGTTATTTTAGTACGTGTTGTTTCCATTACCTATTTATATGTGAAACTAAATATTTTAATTATTCTGATTATGAGTGATGAGAAAAAAAAAAGTTATATTAATCCACAGTTTTAAAGAGTTTTTTTTTTTTTTTTAGTTAATATTTATTGTATTAATCTTTAAACTAACTGACTATCTATTGATTATTATTATTATTTTCTATAAATACAACTATAACTACATGAATAATCTGTATCTTGATAAATATTTTATATATTTTTTTTAGTTTTATTAAATATTTTTATTTTAATGATTTAATACAAAAAATAGTTTACCTTTACGGACTAAATTGTCTCTTGGTTTATTTTATTCTTTATAATTAAATGCAAATGATATATAATTTTCTGTGCTTATGTATAAGATTTTATAACAATAATTATTTACCTCTTCGGAATTAATTGTCTATTTAGGGGTTTTTTTTTTTTTAAATTGTATAATTCTTATTGTATAGGATTATTATAAATGATAGATACTTACGTAAATAATAAAGTATCTTAATTGTTATATTCAATAATTTGTCACAATTCTCAGTAAGTAAAACTGAGCTTGAAAGTTGGGTGCTACTTTGTAGTTATACAAAAAATGGGAAAAATATAAAGGGGGGAACAAAAGGGTGTTAAGGGGGAAAAATATAAAGTTGTGGTAGGGGTGAGATAGTAGTAGACTAAGGACACTAAGTAAAGTGATAGAAAACAAAAATATTTAAAATAATAGGATATTACGTAGAAGTACCTACAAAGAATAATATATAGAGGAGTAGGTATAAAAATGTACCTATATAATATAAAATAATTGATCTAGATTTTGGTACTACAAAGAATGATTTATATTTAATCATAATAAAAGTTCAGCCTACTAGTTATATTACTACCTTCCTTCCGATATTTGAAAGGGATTCGGAGTCGTGAATCCGAGAACGGTGACGAAATCAATAACTAAAGAAAGATATAATTATTTTACCTGCCCACGGTGTTGGAACGCTAGAGTGTATACTTATGGATAACCTCACGTGAACCTGGGGTCGTTGGACGGCAATCACAATTTAATTAAGTTAAACTAATTGAATTAATTAACACTTAGCACCTGTGTGCACTCAGATAAAAAATGCTAATTTTTAAATTAGGAAATTAATAAATAAATCGAACACGAGTGATTATAGCTGATAAAAGTCGAAGGCTAGCTATTTGAGAGTGATCCTCGAAAGAAGTTGGTGGAGTGTAGCTGTTGCTGTGTGTAGAATTCTCGACAGAGTGATCGTCTTGGGATTTCTCAAGGGGTCAAGACGTTTCATTTTCAATTATAAAACCGTTTAATTTTATATGTTTAAATAAGCCAAAAAAAAAGGTCAACCATAAAAAAAAATAGTGTTATGTGTTGATTTGAAATTTGTATACAAATAATTATAATGGTATATAGTGCGAGAGAATGATGACGACACGGCGGTATCATCTAAGGGCCGATTGATGTTGTGTATCTTGTGCTTAATTTTATTTGACTTATATTTGAATGTTCTTCATGAAAGTAATATGTCGGATATTGATTCTTCTCGAATGATAGGAAGCCACTGGAATATGTGTGCTTAAAAGGACGGAACAGATGGCATTCGTGTCGATGTCGATATAAAATAATTAATAATCGAATTGTGAAAATAAGGTAATATACAATAGTATGACTGAGGCAGCAGTGTCCTCAAAGGACCGCAGCAGATAGTATGCAGTTCTATTATATTTGACACAGATTTAAATTATTTTGCTTATAGATAAGCTTGTATCCTTCTCGAATAGCGAACGATCCGTTATATTTATTAAATTATTTACCTTTTGTAAAATATCAAGTACTCGACCATATTTGAATCTTGTAGTTACATTTTTATAATGATATAAATAATAAATAATTATACAATTATAATATTATGTTGAGTGAGCATAACATTACAGTTCCACAAGACAATAATAAAGATATATACAATCTTGATAAATTGTGTTAAAATAGAATTAAAATTAAAATAGAAGCACCTTGTAGGACAAAAGAGGTACCGCAATGTAAAAACTGTCAAGTGTTTGGGCATACTCAAAATTGTTGTCATAAAATGTCTCTATGTGTGAAATGCGGTGAAAATCACATAACAGAAGACTGTCAAAAGCCCAAAAAAATAAAAGGCGAAATGTGTTAATTGTGGTGAAGCACACACTGCAAACTAATTATTGAAGCAAAGCCACTTATACTAGATCACCAGTTTGGATTTCATATATAACACTCGACTATCGACCAAGTTCATCGCGTAACGAACGTGATCAGTAAGGCATTAGGAGAAAAAAATTATTGCTGTGGAGTATTCTTGGATATAGCCCAAGCCTTTGACAAAGTTTGGCACAAAGGCCTATTGTTAAAACTACTCGAGCAGCTTCCGCACACATGGTATGCACTCCTCAAATCATATCTGACTGAAAGACATTTTTGCGTTGGATACGAAGGAACGATAACTAATTGGAAGAGTATATCAGCTGGAGTACCTCAAGGTTACGTTTTCGGACCTATTTTGTACCTACTCTATACAGCTGATATTCCAACTAACGACAATACAATGATAGCTATGTTTGTCGACGACACGGCAATACTATCAACGAGGAAGTACCAAGAAGCTGCGACTGAGATCTTACGAATGACAATCAACGCCGTATACAACTTGGCGAAACGATGAAAAATAAAAATTAATGGAGATAAGTCGGTGCACGTTAACTACACCTTAAGTAATACCATATACATCCCAGTTACGCTAAATCAACAGATAATTCCGCAAAATGATTCAGCAAAATATCTGGAAATGTACCTTGACTCACAACTTATCTGGAAACATCATGTATGTCAGAAAAAGTTGCGAATCAAACAAAAAATGCACAAACTTTAATGGCTAGTTGGACGACACTCCGAGCTAGACTTAAGCGACAAACTTCTCTTGTATATATCGATTGTTAAACCGATTTGAATTTATGGTATTCATGTGGTATTCACTGTGGTGTTGTGCCAGTAAGTCCAATATCGAAAAAATACAACGATGTCAGAGCATCGCTCTTCGAACCATTGTCGCAACATATCGGTATGATAAGAACGACATCATCCACCGCGATTTGAAAATGTCATCCGTGCAAGATAAAATTACACGGTTTGCTCGCAAAAATGCAAGAAGACTAGAGCTTCACACATAAAAGTAAAAAAACACTACATTAAACTCAAATTTTTCTTACTGACCACTAAGTACAACTTTTAATAAATCTTCTATTAAATCTTCAAGCATTTCTATTTGGTCTAACAATTTTATCCGCAGAGTAGGTGCCTAACCTCTGGTACCTACTGAATAAAAATTACATAAAAAAACTCACAAAATTAAAATGTCTATAAATAGCTCAAAAAGGATTCAAATGTTTTGACAATTTTACCACATCTAGAAAAGGTAAATATAAGTTTTCTGTACGTTTTATCCCGGCTTTTTTCAGATATTATGAAAACCGCTGGGAAAATCAAAAATTGACATCCTTAAGGTATCACCTAGAGAAAAGGTGTCATATTAAGAAATGATGCCGCACGTATATATTGGAGCAAGATTTCTGGTAAAATTTTTGTATACAGTAAAAATTAAATTAAATTAACGACCAAATATGAATATTAACAAGTTAATTCATAGTCGTAGTATCAAAATTGTTCTTACAAGCTTATTAATCATTTCTTTGATATCATCTCTAGCATTCTCTAAATCTTTGGTATCCAACCAGTATAACGATATCTTTCTTATTATTTGTGTGTCGTACAGGAAAGTTTACTTGAATGTCGTATTTATTAATTAAGTTACGAATCGTTTATCTTTGTTTACCAATAATTATTTAGTTAGAATTTTTGGATACGGACCTCCAACATTTTAGAATAGTTTTTAAATTTGTATCATATATTAATACAAGTATGAAAATGATAAGTGTGTCATATATAATTTATAAGACGACAAAAAAATTATTTAATTAGATAATTGATTAAGTATTTTTTTTTTTAATCATAATTTTTGGTCGATTAAATTATTTATTTTGAACAAATAAAATACACAAACAAATTAATAAATCTAATCAAATTATAACAAATATCCAATAATACAATTATATTACACTAACCTTGATTAAGTTGTCACATTGTTCTGTGTTAGGAATGTTATTGTGGACATTAAATTCATGTAAAGCATCCGAACTGTATATACAATTCTTTGCCGGTACGTCAAGTTAAAAATAATGTTTTTAAAATTTTTAATGAAATTTAAAAATATATTCTATTAAACCAACCTACATCAATAGTTTTTGTTGTGTTATTTAGTAATATTTCTATTACTGTTCACAATTTTTGGATAACCCAAAAATATTAACTGTATCATTAACTCTGGGAACGTCATTTTTTGTAGTAACTTCATACTGATTATAATATCTCTGGATTCGCGATTGCTATTGAAATAAGACTTAAAAAAACATTATAATTAATGATGATGCATCAATTCTATACTTAATGCTGCAATAAAACCATTGTAAAAACGTAGAACTGAAAAACAATAATTTAACTACCAATAAAAAGTCGTAATTTAATATGTTATAGGTACTAAATTTTATCTCAATATATAGTAAATTATTTAATCATTTAATTACATTTAACATTTAATATTAGGGTCTTAATAGTTAATTTGTTCGTTGTTTACTGATTTAAATCATTTGTTTATAATATGTATTAAGTACATCTATATGTAGATACACGACGCTTTAGAAAAATGTAAAACATAAGTTTCAATTAAAAATATGTTTCGTAGACGATAAGATAATAACAACGTAAATAAATTGGTTGATTAACATTTTCTATTATTAATATAATTATAATCAGTTATGTACATGGGCAGATCCAGGACAAGATAAAGGAGGGGATGATGTAATTAATTCATGTATGGCACACATTCATGACGAGCTTAATGATGAATCAAGTTAAGAGTATAATGGGGCTAAGAGTATCTTTGAGAGTGACGCCCTTTTGGCCGATTATTTTAACCTCTGGATTTGCATAGATTATAGGGCTGATTTCAATGTTTTTTTTGTATAAGTTTTGCGATTAAACGAGTTAGATTACGGTAACTTCCTTTTTTTACATGATTAAATTCATTTTAATTTAATTTATTATAAATTGTATGCTATTATTATTGATTCTAGATGGAGAAAACGTTTTATAGAGTCGTGTTATGTGCACTTTAGGATTAAAATAAATTATTTTACATGCGAGTTTAAATAAGATATATTTTACAATTCAAATTGAATTATAAATCACTTTTAGGACAGGAAATAAATGTAAATATTATGATTTTCGAAATGTACCTACCTATAATTATAGTTATTTAATAATTTAAGAGGACGTCGAATCTTTCACTGTGAATATGCCGATTTTATCCATCTAACAGGTAAAATAGCAAAAATATATTTGCATACTTCCAATAGTATTCGAGCTTTGCTGGTTATATAAACTTGATTTTGGTGTCAAATAAACATGACAAGTTTGACTACATGGCTATAAAACAGTTTATTTAAAATCTAAATCGGCCGATTCTATATGATTTTTAAAATATATTTTTAAAAAAAGACGGACATACCTACTTCGAACGATGGATGCAGACACTGGTGTTGGTGAAAACTTGAGAAGGTACGATACAGAAGGTAATTAAATATATTTCTGTAAGTGACGATAAACCATTGTAAATTAAAAAAGACGATTGTGAACGGAGTTTAGTTAATAGTGTTGCTTTTTCAACGATATATATGTTACATTATGGTAAAATAATTAAATAGGCGTTAAATTTTTTTAATGATNTAATTAAATAGGCGTTCAATTTTTTTAATGATATTTGTTTAAAATTGTACCGTTTTTCCCGGTTTCCCCATGTTTTTCTCAGGTTTTTCACATTTTCTGGGAAACCAGGGAAATCAGAAAAAGGTCTATATCGTATATATCGGAGTAAGCTTTCTGGTAGAAAAAGTGTTTACATAAAAAAAAAAAAAAATAAACATCTTTGTAAAACCAATACATTTTTCGTTCCATTCAAAAATGCAAATAAAATAATAAATTAATACCTTGTCATTTTTTTCATAAAAAACGGTTTTTACACTAATTTAATTTATTGATACTAATCGTTGTTATAGATAAATAACCGTGGTGTTCTCCAAATTTTTGACGATGTATGGATAATTTTAATCAGCTTTATTATTACCAAGCTGTGGTTATATTATTATTATTTTATCGCGTAATCACGTAATCGTGATGTAGTAGCTATTGGCGCATAATCAGTCTTAAACTTGGGAGTGCTAAAATTATTTACGATAGGATATCACTTTTTGAAAATTTTGTAAAGTGAATAAATACAAAATTAATTTTTTTTGTATTCAGGGGATGAAAATAAAAATGTAATTTTTCCCCTATTTGATGTCCTCGAAAAAAAACCGTTTGAAAAAAAAAAATCGAAAAAAATTAATTATTAATAGATCTAGAAAAATCTGCCTGACACGGTGAGACAGCCTGTAAACATGCCATGTCATATTGTTGAGTGCGCAATATTAAAAATCAATTTTAAAAAACTTTTAATAATTAATTTAATCACCAATTATGATGAAAAGCATGCGAAGATTTACTTAATAAGGATTTAGAGAGGTTCTTAAAATACTAAAAATGTGGATACTGAAGTTTAATCCATCTAAAACGGAATACTTCATGTTCCATCTACACAACAAATTGGCTAATCAACTGTATCACTTTTGATGGAAACCCAGTTCAACATAACATTTCACAAAAAAACCTAGGTGTTAATCTGGATCGTTTCTTAACCTATAAAGCTAATTTTGAGAGAATAACTTTGAATAAAAGCACTCGAAATAATATCATTGCGAAACTAGCTGGTACAGGATGAGGGGCATACGCTAATTTTTTAAAAACTGCAACTTTCGCATTAGTGTATTAAACTGCTGAATTCTCTTCTGTATGGCTAAATTGCAGTCATGTAACTAAAATAGATGTTCAACTCAATCGTTCAATGAAAACAATTTTTGGTACACTAAAGTCAATTTCTCTATCTTGGTTGCAAGTACTTGTAAATTTATCAGGCAAGAAGATATCTTCAGAAGAGAGTGGGAGAAATACCTTAGGTCGTCTGATAATCCAATATATGATGATATCTAAAATCGACTCCACTACGAGACTGAAATCTCGGAAACCATACTGGCCGGTAAATACAAGCAATTATTATACCATTAAGGAATGCTGGAAAGAAGAATGGAATATTAAAAAGCTATATAACTACAAACTAGTTGAGGATCCGGATCTCAAACTTCCAGAGTTTTACCTTCCTAGAAAATATTGATTAAAGCTTAATCACTTCCGATGCGGACAAGGGAGGTGCAATCATTCGATGGCTAAATGGAACTTAACAGATTCGGAATTCTGTGAGATCGATGGTAAGATTCAAACAATGGAACAGCTAATTGAAGATTGTATGATACATTCCTCCACAAGGGGTATGGAAAAGTTATACTTATTGGAAGGAGACGCTGTCCGGTGGCTGTAAGAATTAAAGAAAGAAATTTGATTTTGATAGTTTTATTTTTATTTTTGTTTATATATATATATATATATAACTGTTAGATA